ATTAATTGTGATCTGAAGCGATGGCATTTATTCTGAGGAGCAATTATAGCAATTACTGTTTGATTATAATGTTACTATAAAATTATTTATTAACTACTTATTAATTATTGTATAAACATATACCTAAAGTCCACAAAGGAATTCGTAAATCTTGTTTATCCGTCATAAGCTTGCGTATTACGTATCACTGCTCTTCGGAAATTAATTCCGACCAGTACAATAGCCATGGGTAAATTTAATACGACCGCAAAGGGTTAAAAAAAAAATCTCCAAGCGCAAACTATCGCGCTAAATAACGTTAACGTCGAGTTAGGATTACCATAACGCTCGTCGGAGTTCGTATTTTCCGACACTCGTCTCGCAGAGATAAACGAGACGAAAAAGGCGATAATTAAAGTAAAGTAAAAACCGTCGACGAGTATCAACAAAGATATCGCGACGATCCGAGGGCCGCGACGGTCTCGAATGCGGCGCGTTTTATCTCTGCAACCTCTTTCGCTCCGGAATCAAAGATAATAGAAGAAAAGGCTCGGTGGGGAAGCGATAGGCAAAACGTGTAATGTATTCAGCTCGCGTTTGCTTCGGAACGCGGATCGTGAATTTAGTCGTGGCTCCGTTCGCGTCCAATAACAACGCTCTTCCTTTCACGCCTCGGAGTTGAAAACTCACTCGCGCAAGGCTGGCTACCTGTTCCCCTTCGTTTCTTTCGCGAAAGTATCGATCGGACGCAAAATCTCACCCGGTCCCGCTGGAATAGGAAGTTTCCACTCTTTTCGCGTCGGTGGCCATTGCGCGATCGCTCGACCGACCGATACCACCGTCGAAATCTCGCTACGACATGTTGTCGTGCTACGTGACCGCGGTGCAATGCGAGTGGTTGGGGAACCGTGGCCGTCGTGGCTCGAACGTGGATTCGAGGCTCAAGGCGATCGCAGCCGGGTAAACGAGGATCCGGTCTATCGTCCACGTGGCTTGTTTTGGCGAATAAAACCTGCTGTCTATTGCAGGAACAACGTGAACGTCGAGGGAGCCACCCACAAGCAGGTGGTGGACTTAATCAAGTCCGGAGGCGACGTCTTAACGCTCACCGTTATCTCCGTCACGCCGCAGGAGGCCGAAAGATTGGAACCGTTCGAGGATCTCAGGTAAATTGCAATTCTATTACATCGGATAATTAAATAATTTCTGGAAATAAAAATATAACCGAATTAAAACACCAGTGAAACGTGTGAAATAATTTCTAGCTAATTTATGCGAATACTCAACAGCTTTCTATGTATATGTATATGTATATGTATAAAGAAATAATTTCTATCAGGTTGTCCCAAAAGTTTCTTTCGCTTTATTAATAAGTAATACGTGCACAATATTATATCGGGTTGTCCGGAAAGTTCATGCCTATTTTTAAGAAAAATTCAAAGACATATTTGAATTTTGATGTATATTTATTGAATTATACATGTACCATCTTGTTCCACGACCTTTCTACCTGCTAAGGAATGTACATATGTTATCTGTTTTCAGCCATTCGGATATATTCAGACCTGTACCGCCTACTAAAAATCGTCATGGCCTTTCCAGACTGGCCGATATGTTTCACGCTATATTACCGAATTGTGCACCATTCATTTTGCTCCATTACTGTTACAACGTGAATATCTACGAAATTAGATTGTCTATTTGTATAAACACGATCACATAAAATAATTGAGCGCAACTCGCGAAAGAAACTTTCGGGACAACCTACTACTTAGATCGCCTTATTAAAGTTAATCTACAAATTCAGTATTTTATTATTCACTTATCTTCTAGTTACGCATCCGTGGACTACAGCGAGAAACGATCCCTGCCGATCAGCGTCCCGGATTACCACGTACGCGAGAGGAAGCACGAGCGCTATGTCGTCTTCAACGTCCACATGGCAGGCAGACATTTGTGCTCCAGGCGTTACCGAGAGTTCGCCGCTTTGCACGTGGCTCTGAAAAAGGAATTCATCGGCTTCAACTTTCCCAAGTTACCAGGGAAATGGCCATTCCAGTACGTATTCCGCTTTAATGTAATCTTCGGTTCGGAACGGTGCACTGGTAACGAATACGACTTTATTTTTGCAGACTGAGCGAGCAGCAACTCGACGCTCGAAGACGCGGTTTGGAGCAGTACCTGGAGAAAGTGTGCGCCGTGCGCGTAATCGCGGAGAGCGACGCCATGCAAGATTTCCTCACCGACAGACTCGAGGAGGACGGTGATCAGGGGCCGGCTGTAGATCTCAAGGTACTCCTGCCGGACCGCGAGGTTGTCACCGTCACGGTTGCCAAAGCTGCTTCCGTGAAAGACGTGTACGATGCCGTTTGCAGCCGAGTAGGCTTGGACGCGGAAACGGCGAAATACTTTTACCTGTTCGAAATCGTCGAGTACAATTTCGGTAGGTAGGGAACGACGGGTTCGATGATAATTTTTTTTTTTTTTTTTTTTTTTTTTTTACGTAACGTCGCTCGTTTCTTTCAGAACGGAAGTTGCAACCTCACGAGCACCCTCACACTTTGTACATTCAGAACTATTCGACCGCCAGTGCGACGTGTCTCGCGATAAGGAGGTGGCTTTTCAATGTAAATAGACCACTCGGTGAGCAAGCGTTAACGTGGATATTCTGGCAGACCGTTGACGAAGTCAACAGAGGCCACATCACGGCCGGTGAACGATTGTATCAGTTGAAGGCTTTACAGGATGCGTCGAGGAAACACGAGGTGAGTTGGAAAACATTCGCGGACGAATTCGCTACTTAGTATGGGCTTTCAATTACCCCTTAACACTTTATTTACCGGGAGCCTATTTATAGGCCTTTTAATTGCAGTATTTAGCTATTGGAAACAGACTTGGCTCTCAACGTACCCAATAACAGTATGGCGGAATTACTGTCAGCCTAGATTGGCATATGCTACTGTAGAAAATTCTTTTTTTAATTAAAGACCGTCTCTAAATAGCCTGGTGGATAAAGTGTGAATCTTTTGCACTCGAGGCCTTTTTTTCTGGTATCTACCAGTAACTCGAACGCTAAGCTTAGATTGACTTGGAAGATGTAGCCGGATCTCAAACTAATTTGAGATTTTACTGACCTTTACTGCACTGACAAGTATTTTATTGACACTTCGAGTTCCAAAGAAATGAAACGTAAACTAGAGTCGCCTCTCGAGTGCAAAGGGTTAATATAGACACACTCATAGCGAATCGTAATGTCGAAGCTCGTACGAGTATCAATTCCATCTGTTTGTCTCGTACTCGCAGTACCTAAAACTGGCGAAAGAATTGAGCGGTTACGGCGACATCGTGTTCCCTCACTGCGTGTGCGACTCGAGGAAGGAAGGGCACGTCGTCGCCGCCGTGGGAGCAGCGGCGTTCAAGCTGCACGCGGCGAAGGAGGACGGTACTTTGGAATCTCAGGTCGTTGAATTTCAATGGAACACTATCACCCGGTGGGAGGTGGACGAGGAAGGAATGGCATTCTGCTTCCAATATACGCGCCAGGACAATCGTCCGCCGCGTTGGCTTAAGGTCTTCACACCTTACGTAAGTGTTTTATTCAAATCTTTTTACGAAAATTGTTTCTAAACGACGTATTCTTACACGGAGTGAGTCAGCGTAAACTACCGCACTAAATAACTTCTTTATCTTTTATCTTAGAATGTTAATAACAAGGAGCTGTATTTTTCTATTCGTTACACTGCCTCTTTTCAAGATAAAAATAAACGACTTACTCGAGTCGCTAATTTCGAACTAATCGACCTGTACCTGCTACTTAAATATGTACATACAAGTATTCAACCGCAGTAGTTACCAATCAATGGATTCAAAAAGAAGTTTCGCACGTCGGTGTGTTGCGTGCGTTTACTCTTGTGTGGTTTTTTTCTTTTTTTTTTTTTTAAGCATTGCAACAGTTTAATCGAACTGTTTCGCGCTATTTACGCTCGAACGATGAACGTTCTGTTCGCAGTACACGTTCCTGTCAGACTGTTTTGATCGAATAGCCGAGGAAGCGAAGTGGGACGATCCTGGCGAATGACGTAACGTCCGACGCTAAAAATGTGTTTGGTGCATAATACGAGGTATACCGTACCGTTTCATCGAACGTTCACTCACGGCTGTCTTTGTAGCCCGAAGTTTAGAACTACGTTTTTTAAGGCGACCGCAAAGATCAGTAAGACACCTAATCATATCAGTCTCTCGCTTGATCAGCTTCGCAACGCGTCCCGTGTCGAAATCATTTGCAACGTTGCATCGTTATACGAACGCGAACCTCGTGCCGCTGTAAAAATCAACAATTTTCTTTTTCAAGGAAATGCGGAGAGATAGCAAACGCCACCACCAGTCCCGCGTAGACGTATCGTCGTCTCTTTAGCTGATAATCTTTCTACCATAGAAAACCTCGATACTTTAGCTTACGGTTGATCCACGAATCGCTGAAAGACATAAGAGAATTACGTTAGTCTCCGCTCTCCAGGGTAAGATGTTGCAATATCACGCCAGCCTTTAGACGAATCTATCCTCTGGCCTATCACTCGTTCCGCGTACCGCGTAATTCGTTCTCGCGCAAGAGAATCGTCGAATTACGAGACGTTCCTCTCTACTAGCCTAATAGATATCGCAGACTTTCGTTCGTTAAATCCGTACGAGTGAATGAACTTAAGCAAGAAGTATTAACGATATAGTTTAAGCCGGTTGCTTTCCTTTCGCGCAGGCTCTCCGCGCATTTACATACCGAAGACGGTTCCGAGCATTTCAGTTTCGTCGTTTCGCATAGTTCCGACGCACCGTGAAATAGAGATTCGAAGGATACCGGGAATTACTTCTCCCAGGATGTATATTTATATTATTATACAAAGGCAGAGATACAAAGGTGAATTGTTCTCGATCCGAATACGCGTTACCGTGTCGCTATTGTGTATAAACCGTGAATACGATTAGCGCTCTGAACGAAGACGCGATCCGATTCGAAAAGTAAACCGTAGCTGTGAATAGTCGAAACCTTAACGCGCTGTTCCACCGTTGTCGAAGAATTGATGAAAACGTACTTCACCTTGGTCGTATCGTACGAATAACGTTCGTAAATTAATAACTAATAACGAGGTTAATCGAAGAGGAAAAGTATCGGATGGAGGAGGAGAGCGTTAAGATGATACGAATATAAGACTTAAAAACGAAATAGGTTGATCGAAAAAACACCAGGTAGAATGCCAGAATGAAGAAGAAACAAAAAAAAAAAAGTAATAAATAATACTCAGTGACATTGTTGAGAGAGATATTAATAATAGGAAACGAAATGAATATATGAATAATTTTAGCGTCTTTAATATCGGCGGGAACGCCGATAAACTTTTAAAGTATCTTGGCCTGCTCGTCGTGGTTTACGGGTAGAGACAGCGAATCCTTCGAAACGAAACTTCTTCCGCATTTATTACGTCGTTTCGCCCCCTTGTTTTCTGCGTCACCCTTTCCGATGGCTTCGCAACTGAACGTCGCTCGTTTCAAACGATTCGCTCGCCCAACAACGAGAGAAGCCTCGGCAGATAATAAGTATAGAGATAGATGTATAACTATCGTTAATGTTTTTAAACTTTATTCGGAATGAGTCGTGCGTGAGATTTTCGAGACAGCCAAGGTCGAGTGGCAAGAATGAAGGGTACGTTAACGGAGAGGTGTAAAAATAATAAAAATGTTGGCTTGCTCGACACGAATCACCCGACGTGTATAATATTCAAAGACGATGGCGAACGAAACGAAGAGAAAAAAAGATTATTCCCGAAAGCGTACAACGATCGAAAGTTCTTGTTATTTTTGCATCGGTTTAACGGACGATAACGACCCCCGATTCTTGTTCCGTGAATAATTTGGGAATTGTGCAAGATTACCTGTGAGCTATCCTTGAATTTGAACGAATAAAGGTAGACCTTCGGTTGCTTGAGGTTTTGGAATGAAATCGTATTTACGATGCTTCGAGCTCCACCTAGGTTTAAGTGTTGAAGCGTTCGTCCCTTTGTTAGCGTTTGCGTTTTCGCCGAGAATCACTACGAAAGAAAAAGAAAGAAACGTTTATCCATAGAAAGCGGCATCGGTATTAGTCTCTTAGTGTTCCTGAGTTTGCAGTCGGCAAAATCAGCGCACACCAAGTGTCGAACAAGTATTAAAATACTGCGGATATGTTCTAGCCGAAGGTCGCGTTGATTGGCGGAAAGAAGCAGCCGTGAAATTGTCATGACTTTTTGCGATGTATTGTATTATTCCATTAATCGATGAAGTAATTACATAATTAATTTAACGCTAAGTGTCTCGAAATGCCGGAGTTGGTACGCGTTCGTGGCTAGAATATTTTTGACGAAGTTACATTGTTACAAATACATTGAGTAGGTCTCGATGGCGTGTAGAATATTTTCGAACGAAATTAGGCTGAATCGTAGAAACGAAATACGTCCAAATTCCAACAGTGGTTTGCCTCGGAAGAAAGGAAGTTTATATCGATAATTTCTCATCGGCATTCGTCGTTTTCGCGTGTATACAATATTTATAACGAGTATTTATTAACGTCTTATCGTTCGCAAAATCGGCCATTCGATATGGTCGACGCGTGGATCTTTAGTTATTTATTGTCGTTCGATAGTATTTTTGTATCGAAAGAGATATTTACGTGTCCCGAAGAAAAGTTGGTTTCGTTTAGATTAACGAATTTCCGAGTCGGGCGATAGGACGATTAATTATTAATTACTTCATTAATTAACACGTTAAATAATTCTGTCTAATTGGATGACGAATTAGGTAGTATAATTTAATTATTGTTATAGTAAGACCATATCATTACAGTTAACTCCATAGAAGTTAATTAAACTATTATGTATAATCGTAGCCTGTAATAACAAGTGCTCCAGTTTATCATCTGGTATCAGTTCGCGACGTTTGCTGTAAAACTGGTATTTCGAATTAGCGGCGGTAATCGATATATATATATATTTTTTTTTCCCTTTCTTTTCGACTCATCTACTTCAAAATCGGAGAAAAATAAAAGAAGTGCAGAGAATTTACGTCTGTCTTATTTCTCTCTCGATAGTCCGAGAAAAGAATCTCTGTTACGTTCGCATCCTTCTTTTTCTGCGGCCGAGTCGATAAATCCGTAACCGTTCTACGATGCCCGCTGAATCGTTACTTGTCTATAATTTTACTGATTTCATACCGATTTCGTGTTCTGCTCGGCACACAATGTCGCTTACGTAATAAATTATGTCGTGCTTCGTTTTTTTTATGCATTGTATAACAAGCTCGTCCCGGGAAACGAATAGTTCCATATATATTTCTCTCTGATTGATACTTGGCTTTTCTTGCTGTTCCAGACCGTAACGGGTTTTGATTACATTCGTCAAGCGACACCGACAACCATACTTTCCTATCGAAGAGTATCAACCTTCTCCGCCAAGATCACCAACTCCGCTTGAAAATAAAGACCTTGGCCATCCGAGAACCTTCTCCTACATCAAAACGAAACGGTCGACCTTTTGTTCCAACATCGCCGTCAAAGGACCTCCTTATCGCACGACCGAAACAACCTTCTCCGAAATCACAATAACCAAGACCCGACAACCGTCTCCTCCTTGGACAGTATAAACACTCTTCCCCGAGATAATGAACCGCATCGATGTCCCCCCCGGACACCGCGATCGGCGTAAACACGCTCACGCGCTCCGATTTGGTCACTCACGGGATTTATCGATATCGGTCGTCCACAGATGGAGAGGGACGTATCTTGTATGTATACAAACGTGCGGTCTCGGTCCCGCTGGTATAAGTAAACGCGTGCAAATCGGTAGCCTGCGTGTACGGATCGCGCCGGCGCTCGCGCGAGCACGTTACCGATACATTGAACGCGGTTCTCTGAAGATATCGCTAAGTGGTCGCCGATACATGGAACAGAAGATCAGTCTAAAACCACCTGTCTTGGACGGTGGAGGCTCCGTCCTCTGATTCTATCGACGGTAATCGGTAGTTGTAAAATCCAGTGAAGAAACCGGGAATCGCCTGCCACCGGATCGACTAGTTCACAAAAGTTGAACGAGCACGATGGAGAGATTAAAGAGGAAACGGAGAAAACCTGACGGCCAGAAGGTAGGTGAAGCGTTCCTTTTCGCGTTTCTTCCTCGTTATCATCGCATCGATTCGTACAAGATTAATATTTTTTTTAACAAGCAGCTACAAGACAAGAAAAGACGCCCGAACGAAAGGGTCCCGTACCTTGCGACTGCGTTCCGTCCTGCGTAGAGTTTTTTTAGTAAATTATTGAGGGATTCGCGAACGCGTTACTCGACAGAACTCGTTCTGAATTCGGAGAGGCCGTTTCGAATCCATTTTTGAAACATGGACAAAAATCTCGCGAATACTGTTTGCACGGATAAATCATCATTACATAACGCGGCATCGCTCAACAATTGACGCGTTGATTCACACCGTAACAAAGTTATATTCTATTTTCACGATCCGGTTGCAAATAGTACTCGCTAATTAACCGACCGAGCGTGTTTCGTCGCCTTAAAACAATCGCACGATAACACGTTATCGATGAAACCACACGCTTCACGTTTTATTAGGGGTGCGTCGGTTACACCTTCGGGTGCTTCGTCCGTTGTATAGTTGACTGTCGTATCCCGTGGTTTGAAAACTAGTTTAAAACTAGTAGAATCTGTTTCGAAACAATCTACCGTTTGTGTAGTTATACTGACAAGACCAGGCTTATCTTGGTAATTGAAGAAAGATAGTAAAATTTTTCTACATAGTTTAATTGCAGGTTCTTCCGATTTATCGAGTCGCCTACTTCTGCCCGTGCCGTTTGTCTCTCTCGTCGCCGGGCCCAACAGAAATGACCACACTTTTTGGCGGCACGCGTCCCGAGATTAGAGCCTATCACGAACACCTTAGGTCTCATAGAAATAACTTGTTCTTTCGTCCGAGGTCGATCCGATCGTTTCCACATCTATTAACCCAATTTCTCGGAAAACTTGTGACTCTGTATGCAAACGACACTCACATGCTAGTGAGATCATCGGCGACAATTTTCCTCGTGGTTTTGCCTTAGAATCAGTGGAACTACGAAATCCCCGGGATTCAAACAGCGCCGTTAGGCGGGAAACAATGGCGCCTATTGACGAGAACGTCGTTCGGAACGCGAACGATCTTTTGACGCTAGTATCCGAAGCTTTTGTTAACGCGACGTTTGTCGCGTTCGTTCGACTGGGAATTGTCGCGATTTTTAAAAACAAAATTTTAGGAGGAATAAAGGAGGAAATCCTTCACGGTGAACGGAGCGCTTCGAATTCTCGTTCGAATTATTTTCTTCCGCGCAGATAATCGTTACCTTATCGAGCGCCAACAAAAGTCCGCCTAGGCAAACGTTTCGTTTGTTAATCGCGAGATTTAAACCGGGACGCCTTTGCGCGGTTCCAACCGCTTTAATCGCTTTATTGTTTCGATTGTTTGAAACTTTGTTCGTTGCTCCGTCGAGTGTAAACAAGATAGGAGCCTCTCGATAATGCCTGCTCGGATCGAATGTAGGTGTACGCACGTTTTCTAAGTGCACCAAAGGTGTCGTAAATCGTTAATTCCTCGGATGGTGGGTTTAATCCGATAAGTTGACGTTCTTATTCGAGTTCTGTTCTACCAAACGCGTGATCGGATTCAAAATCTTGCACAGTGCGGCACTTTAACGAGGATTTTGGGACAAAAATAAAGGATTGATTAGAATGTGCTAATAATTCATATTTTTAGGGCGGAAATTGTTTCAATCGTGTCAACTAAAATTATTTGAGTATCGTTAGGTAAATAGAATAATTATGACAAGAGAGATATTAAATTTTATAATAATGGAAGAAGGGGAATATTAATGTTAACAGAACGGCGAGAAATAATTTTACAGTAAAAGTAAAATACAATTAATGAAAATACGAAAAACAATTATTGATTAATTAAGGATAGGTTTCGCTAATGAAATGATACATACATAGCATTCAGTGTAGCAGTTTCTCGCAAAAACAAATTGTATAGCGTTGTATTACAACAACTTTTTTTTTATACGTAACCATACAAATTACATGATAATTTGAACCGTTTTTATTTAATTACATTTTAAAGAAAAAGAGGAATTTTGTAAGTTGCGAACCAAAGTTGTACATACCTTCGTTAATATTTTCCGTATTTAACAAACAGTGTTTGAAAGAAACTAAATGAAAACAAAAAACGAATTACACACGTGAATATCGATTTTTAGTTGGTACGTTACAATAATCGAATCACTGTAATTAATCCAATGTTGATTTCTAACGGTACTATTTTCACATTCGCGTTCCTTATTTAGTGAATGATGATATTATTGCGTAATTAGATAAACATTGAACCCGGAACCGTTTTTTATTTTCGTCCATTGAATACCGCACTGTGGCTAGTTCATAAAATTATGTCATCTCGAGGTCGAACCGAACGTAGGGTATCGATTATCAATCGCTAATCTGGAATTAGAGTTAACCATCGGAGCAGAAAACGTATTTGCATACGCGACACGCAAGGCACTATCAGTTTTCATTACGTAATAGATTGTGCACATGTCGAATTGTCGGTTCGATTTTTCTTCCACCGATCGATCAAGTATAAAACGCGACGATGATTTAGTTCTACAGGACCGATTCACCTCTCGTCGGGCTAACTAATATAACAATCTATGATAGAATACAAAAAACTAATGTATATACTCTCTCCATGAAAATACTGTCTGAGTAGGTTAGGAATAGCATTTGGTGGTGGAAAGTGATATTGAATATCGTTAATGTACATACTGTCTACACGGAAATACTGTCTGATTACGTTTGGGGTAGTACTTGGTGGGAGCACCGATATTCAATAGTGTTAATGTACATACTGTCTCAGTAGGTTCGGTGTAATTTTTAGTGGCAATGTTTTAGTGCGGCAATATTGAATGTCTACGTGGAAATACTGTCTGAGAAAGTTTGATGTATTTGTTTTGCTGATGGAAAGGAGGGGAGCAATATTGCATACAGTTAATGTGTAAACTGTCGACACGAAAATACTGTTTTAGTAGGTAATACTGTCTTAGTGGTGGATTTTTTTGTGGAGACTGAATAAGACGTTCTTATTCTATGGCGGTGAAAATATTGATTAATGCATATACTCTCTCCATGAAGATACTGTCTGAGAAGGTTTGGGATAGTATTTGGTGGGGTCCGACAGTATTGAATAGTGTCAATGTATATGATGTCTAAAGTAGATATAATGATAGTTTACAAATATTCTTTGCTTACTTCAGCATTAATTTTTTAATACATTATGTATTACAATTATTAACAGCAGGACTGATTTCTTATCGCAAAAGAGTGGTCTTCGTAGAAAAAAAAAATAGAAGGAATAAAAATATTGAACAGGACCATCAAGACACCACGAAGGAGACAAGCAATTTATTTGGATGAAAACTGCTACCTTCAGAATGTGCAACTTTAAGTCCTCGTATCAATCACATTTATTTATTTATTATTTATTTCGTAGTCGCTGGACATTTAGAAAACGATACGAGTTTATCCGAATTCGATCCGAGAGATCGAGTTTTCGGCTCCGTGTCTAAAAATTTCCCAATTCGGACCACTGGCGCGGCAGTGCGGTCAAGACGATCTTTCTCGTACCACTCGGTCCGAACTGACCGCACCGCGCGCAACTTTAATCAACCTTAACTAACCAACTCCCACAACGATGGTCTCTTTTCATCGCGTCCCCTCTTTCTTCTGTCACGCTCTCTCCATCCTTATTCTCTTTGCACAGAAAGTATTACTCTCAATCGTCGATCCCTGGGACGTCAGAGTGGCCAGTGTCGATCCGGTCGGCTTGGCGGAACGACGAGGCGTCTCTTTGTCGATTTCTCCGCTCCAACAGATCGAAAGTGCCTCGCAAGAGCCTCTGTCTCCGGGTAGAACTGTCAGGACCCCGTCACCTTGGTACAAACCCGCTCACAGCAGCGTCTCGGAACACTCTTCTACCGTCGGAGCCACGAAAACGAGCTCTGCCGAACCCACCTGGGTGAATCCTTGGTATTCCCCGACCAGGTAAACCGTAGAAGAGTTTCCTTTCGCTCTGCGAATACGCCCAACATTTTCGCCGATGCTTAAACTCCAGCTTTATTTAAGCATCGAATATAATTACATCGGAAATCGATTGCCAATAACGTGGAACACCGCGAGTGGTAAACACGCGGTACGTGAACCCTGAGACGAGTGATTAGATCGTAAAACGTGTTGAAACTGTTGCCCGCGTCTTGCTTTCATAAACCGTTTATGATAAACGTAACGCGAGCCAGCGCCGATGCGTTCGATTTCCCAGGCGTTCGGAGCATCTCAAATAATTATCAAGGACGTTTCTTTTAACGTTCGAAAAGGTCATCGATTGGTACGCGATCCAATTCACCGGAAGTGCCACGGAAACCAGCGAGAAAGAGAGCGCAAAGCGAGGCGAGAAACCCGGGAACAAGCTCCGATCTTCGAAATGACCAAACCATTCCGGACGACAATGGATTAATCGACGCGACACCGGAAATCACGTGCGGTGATTCCGATTACGAGCACAAGGCTGGACCAGTCGCCAGAGTGCGTTTCGAGAACAAGAAGCGAGGGAGGTAAAGCTTTTCTTGAAGATTCGTTTGTTTGTTTGTTTTACAGCCCGCTGTAGTGTTTGAAATCCTACTTATATTTTTCTCCTATCATACATCGCCTAGATAGTACTGGCGGCGTTTCACAATTTTTTGACGATTTTTCGCTGAAGCAGGAGCCACACTTGGGATTCGGAAGCGGATCGCGTCGATGGGAAGAGTCATCTTTACCCTTCGAAGACAGTCAGTCCGCCCGGTAATTTCGAAGACGATAATTCGTCGCACCGGGAAGAAACTCTGACGCAACAGTCCGCGGAAAGTTCTGCAGGTCCCGACGAGACGAATACCGAGGAGAAAGGTTGCAAGTCTACCGAAAAAACAGAACCAGTCGGTCTCGGATATTTCGAAGACAAAGAGCTGGTGAACGTCGTGCAGAATTTGGTGACGTCGAGGTATTATTATCGAATGTCTCCTTGTCTCTTCTACTTGTATTTCATCGTGTATTAACGCGGTCCATGTGGCCTGTCCCTAAGGTACAGTCCCAATCTGCCCGGTGGGCCACGAAAATTAAGCAGAAGGACGTCATGTCGACGCGAGTCTCCGAAAGAAATGGACACGATAGGTAAAACGACGTTTCGTTTATTACTAACGCATAATTTACACGTTTAGACGAGCAAAAGTCGTCGTTCGAGATATCTGAATTTCACGTTGGAACTACAGCGAGATCTTGCGGCAGTTTAGGCTTGTTAGGGTTGTTCAAAATCAACCAATTAGCGAGCCATAAGACAGGGTCTGCAGGCTTCACTTTGCAACACTGTAAGGCGATGTTTGTTTATTGTTTTTATCAATTGTTGTTATTCAATTGTTACAAAATGTTAATTATTCGTCTCACCAAGGAAAGAGCTTCCACGAGGACAGGATTCATTATTTCCGACAAGTAATCGACCGCTGCTTCGTTTCTCAACAGGGGCTCGATTACAACTGAAATAGAATGTCGGAAGTTGGTCGTGGGTTTTGAAAACTCGTTAACAGTTTAACGTCCGCTCGCGGAAAAAAAAAAATAACGGCATTGAAACACGCATACATTTTTGCTGTAAACTAGAAATTATTGGTCAGTGTATTATTACGTTCAGGGAAGAAGAAATGAATCTCTCTTTCGGCCTCTTCGCGAGTACTGCTTCCATGAACTGCGTTCTTGAAAGTCTCGCCTCTCCTGCCGAATCGTGCTCTTATACTGTCAGGGTAATATAAACGAGCCTCCGTAACCTAAAGCACGCGTTCGCGCCAATAAGAAAACACTTGTCAGACAATACAGAGAAAGAACATCTGGAAATTACCTTGGTTGGACCCATAAGCAATCTCCACTCTTCCACGCCGTGACGTTTGGCTAAAACGTGAGCGATTACGGGACCGGACGCCATGTAGGCAACGAGGTGCGCGAAGTTTAGCTGTCCATACTTGTCCGAATAAAACTCGGACACTTGTTCCGGCGTGAGCTGCAACCAGCGCGTCTGATAAACCTCGAAGCCTTCTTCAAATATACGTCGTTCGATTTGCTTTCTATAGACGACCGCTTCTGGCTTTATGATCGCTAACGTGCACTCGATATCCGGCTTCTCCTCGACTTCCTCTTCGCAGACGCAAGGCTCGAAGGAAAACACCGGCGGATGCCAAACTTCCTCCTCGGGCTCTCCGACGAGACACTCGCACTCTTCACGGCTAACGAACTTGTACTGTCGACCGTTGGACGGAGCACCGACGAATCGTTATTATTAGACTGCGGATTTGTATGCATTTATAGGGAACTTGAATGTGCAAGAACCTACAAAATGCACACAGTATACAAGAATATAAAAAATATCGAGAGTACGGTAATTATTAAGTTCATATTATGATATTTCCAGAGTGAAATAAATTCCTGTTTAGGTTCAATTTTTGTAGGCACGTTTGCCAAGATTTTATTTTGCATAAAAATCCGCGGTCTAAGTATTACATATCGAAATTTTGTAGTTTGAAATGGTATTTTGCACGAGTACCGTTCTAGGGGAACTAGAGGTCGTCGAGCTCGTCAGCAGTTCCCTGTTACCACTGCAAATTGTAAATCCAAGAGCGGATTGCGAGGAATCGACCGGGTCCCAATCGTCTTTGTTCGAGACCGTGGCGCAGCTCGATCGTCTCGCTATGTCTTTCGTTGGACGATACGACTTCGAACATTTCCTGAAAAGCGTCACCGTTTCCGGGACGGATGGGTCGTCGTCGGCGTTCTTCTTATCTACGCAGTCGCACATTTTCGCGAGTAAACGTCGGTTCCTCTCAATTTCACTCGCATCTCTTTGCTTATCATTTATCAGGGTTATAAATCAGTCGTGTGACACTCGATGCAATGACGTTCGAAACAAAATAACGTCGGTAAAATCGTAACGTGGGTGAAGTATCTTTATATTTGCGATGGTATAGTGCTTTGCAAAGTATGTAAAATTAATTGACACTTTTTCAGACGACCCGAAGGCGACGGAACGTAACAGCGTACCTGTACCAAGTACACCTTTAAAAGAAACAACAGAAATCATCGAAGACGGAACGAAGGAAAGATTCATTCGTCTTGAACCAGCGGCAAGATTTCGCGCAGCCGCGGATATACGTAAAACGAGTGTCTCGATGCCGAGCAATCTTGACGAGATGGAAAATCTGCGAATCGGCAGGCAAAAGGTGAGCCCAACGATTAACCTGCGCTCGAGAGATGACTCACCGCTAGATTTCACGCAGCAAATCTACCAGCAATAATGTTTGACAATGACAATCGGGCTACATCAAATCAATCTAACCATAACGTTCGTGGCAATAGAATGGTAAGAAAGCATCTCGAGTTGCTGCTAGATACAGTAAAGTCTCTATAAATGCACAAGCTCGGGACTGACCGTGTGCGTTTATCGTCGACTTCATACTGGACCCCTCGAGAGGTGTACACACAGTGGTGGGGATGGTTTCTATGCAGTTATCGCAGACCAATTTGTGCATTTATGGAGACATTAGTGTACCAAGAACTCGAGATGTTTCTTAGCATTCTATTGCCATGAATTCTAAGCTATCTAGATTTGAGAATAAGGTCACCTTTGCCTCGCCGACAATCATTTTATTGACACTTCGAGCTCCAAAGAAATGAAACCTAAAGAAACATTATGTTCCTTTCCATTCTGTTATGTACAATATTATCCACCTTTTTATTTGAAGGCGAGAGGTTTTGACGAAGAAGAGAGGTCCGAAAAGAATTCGATTTTACCAGCGCTAAAATAAGAAAGCATGTTGTATTCTATCCTTCTCCAAAGAATAACACCCGAGCGATCAGTTTATAGTTTGCCGTTATACACCGAACCCCATGTTTTGTCTACGGGTTCCTCCTCGTCACGCTCGAGGACAAAGTCAAACCGAATACCTCCTTCGAAATAAGAGTTGCTTATTTCAAGACCAGTAGCATATAACGATCTGTTTCGTGCGAATACGGGATCCCTGTAAATGCGAGGCGTGACTAGCTCACATTGTGATAGAGACTGACAATAACACGGCGGATAATCGCCGCCAGTGTACGGTTACTCGGTGGATTAAGAGCAGTGTTACGCAGTTGCGCAATTCCGACTCGTGTTTACCAAACTCGGTGAAAAAAATTCGTAGTCACGGCGTTTCGCTCCTCGGTGAATCTTGCTGGCTAGATTCGGCTGCGCTTAACGGATAAGTTTTCGAGATGTTGCAACGAGTGTCTGTTCGTTACATGAAATACGTGGACGAAATGAAACCGCTGTTGTCCATGGATAAAACGAATGATACAAACAATAGGTACAGCTCGATCTATTCTTTGGTAAAGACTCTCGCCGAAGGTGAGGTAGGTTCATGTCCAATTCGTAAAGAGTGTACGATGAAGACAGGCAACATTTTTATCTAGATAAACAGTTCTGTTACGTTCCTCACGAGTTCGTACTCGAAATCAGTTGGGTAAATATTAACGGTAAATGTTTGCACTGGTGATGCAAAGTAAAGCAAGTCGGGTACCACGCTCGATTTTGCCGTGGATCTCGAAAAGGATGCGCAGAGTTTTGTTACACCGTTCCTTCTGATTAACGATACTTAATTTGTTTACTGTAAGACACGTGCGCGTAGCTGTCGAAACGTTTTCCTAATTCGCTCGACAACGCCATTTTATTCCCGTTCCTTCCGCGAGGCAGCTGAATTTCTCGGCGATTGCGTAATGTTTACAATCGTCAACCACCAATCCGCTATGCCACGCGTCTCCACCAACGTAGTTCCTCAATGTCGCTCGGAGCGATCGGTCTCGACTACCAGAAAATATAAAAGAGGCTACAGTATCGTTCTATTTCTGACGCGGTCGATTAACAATTCGCAGGTGACTCCCTCGAAATTCAACAGATCGGAGAGCGGTGACAGCAGCAGCGTGACGTTCAGCAACAGCGGTTCGACGCCCAATGGAAGCCCGCTCGGCTCGGAAACCGAGGAGGAAGCAAACGACGAGGAGATGGCTAAGTAAGTAACAAGTTTACTGACCAGTTCACTGACAACCACCACTTTACAGAGTGGTGCATGGAACGATCATCTTCGGATTCGACCTTCTTTATATCGCCTTAGGGTTATCGCGTTACAAGTTTCGAGACTCGACCGTCGTGCCAGTCGATCGTTCGGCAGCCTGCCATTGAGGACCGTTTGTAGTTTTAGTTTGTAGTTTTAATTTGTAGTTCTAGTTTGTAGTTTTAATTTGTAGTTTTAGTTTGTAGTTTTACGTGTGCCGTTTTCTTTTTCTCCACGGACGAAAGTGAATTCGATTCCTGGATCTTTTGTTATTCGGCAGATTCATGCGCGTTATTTAACGTTGTATTTTTGCGATGATAGAAAATAAACAACTTTGTCGATGCAACGAATTAGTGTAAAGATACGAGTAACATTGTCCGACACGAATTTTTTGTTCTGTAATATCCACTGAAGGATTCTTGCAGCGTTCCTCGTTCTAAATACGAATCTGGAAACCAAATTGCTCCATCGCTATCAGTCTTCGAAAAACACGAGGTTTCGTAAAATCGGACAATCTTGAAAATATAACACTACTTGAAAGCTGCGAACGCTAGAGAGTACTATTTCGTCTTGAAAGATAGAGGAGTGTTTTCTGAATATGTAGATATATTTATTTAGAATTATCTGCTTCTTTGAAGGCCTGTAAATGAACACCGAAATTCAAAAAGGTGCTAATGGGGAAAGTTCGCACGAAATGCTTTTGTATTTTTATGAAAAGTTATTTACCTATTTGAAATTTACTATATATATATATAGATATCGCAAAACCTAAAAATAGTTCAAATTTGTTGGACAGATATAATCTATCGACGCGATAACAACTCAACGATTCTGATTACATTTGCAAAGTTTAAGATACCGCGATGATTCCAAGATACGACGTCGGCAGCGCTGTATCGCTGCAAAGGTAGACAAATTAATTCAAGCAATTACTAAAAATTTGTATATAACGTAAATGAAATTGCAGAGTCCCGTTGCAAGCTCCTCCTCGAAGGAAAGGCAGAGTAGTGGGACCAATGATTAGTCAAAAGTTGGGAAACAACTCGTTGGACCTTCCCGGTGGACAAAGTGCGAGCTCGACGATAACCAGCGTTAACAGCATTAGCAGTTTGCTCAAGGAAAAACTCCAGTTGTCCCTTCCACAAGCTCTGCGTAGCAGCAAAAAGAGACAGAACGCCGATTATCGGTGAGGTGAAAATAATCGTTTGCGTGAATCGATTTTAAATTAAATTTTTTGAGCGTCATGTTGCATCAAATCTTTCACAGACTACGAGTTTTCGTTGGAATACTATTTCTATGCGTCGTTTTCCTCGTAGGATTTGCGCACATTTATTACACGCAGCACGTTCTGCAACGAGCCTACTTCGACAAATTTCGGTGAGCGAGCGATTACGTACATTTTCCTTATTCAGTAAAGTCTCTATAAATGCACAAGCTCGGGGGGGCTGAACTGGTGCATGATGGTTACAGTTTTACAACGAAAAAGTTAATAATAAAAAAGTTTCACGTTTACCCCCCCCCCCCCCCAGTGGTGGGAGATGCTTTCAGTGCAGTTATGGTAGAGATATTTGTGCATGTATAGAGACTTTACCGTAATCTTTAAACGTACAGCAACCAATTTAAAATAAACCTAGTAAGAAAAGAAATAACAGGTTAACATTAAATAAACTTTAATTTACGCAAATTCTACTCTAATAAAAATATGTAGGAACGTTAGTTAAGTATTTCTTTCCCTAATGTTTATTAATAAAATAAATACATGAAGTTTTATTTTGAATTGTTTCCTGTAATGAATATTTATTATATATTATTTTAACGTCCCATGGATTAAAAGTTCGGCTCGTTTCCAGGTTCAATAAAAATGAAAGAGTGATGCACGTGTACAGCAGCACCGGAACCGAAGTGATCGCGGCACGTCTCGGCGAAGGAATTCCTCCCGAAACCGGAGTCTTTCAATGTTTACCTCACCATCAGAAGCAAGACTCGGTTTGCCTCGAGTGGCTTCAACAGACTCGTTTATATCTAGCTCACACAAAACACGAGGACATGCACTGTTACCACGTCACCTGGCAAAGCCTCAATCCTTACTACAATCCTACGGATTGCTTCGATTGGTCTTCGAAGAGAGGACACTGGTACGGCGCTGGACAGATCCAGAACATACCTTACCCTCTTGAACGCGGCCGCCTGGACTCGAGTCCTTTCATCACCGGCGATATCGCGAAACATCCGTTCGGCAACGTGCTGAAAAGGTACTTTCTAAACTCGAAGGGCGCGACCATATTGGTCGATCCGAAGACGCCACTTTACGTCTCCATCAACGCAAACAGGAGCAACGATTTCTGTCTACAAGCTAAACACGATGCTTTCGCTTACATCAATCACTTAACGCCCCTACCGCAACTGAATTACACGATCTGCGCGACAGACAACATGAAGAATTTACATTCCTCCATGGCGGAGAAGTCTTTATGGGACGGCCTGAAGCCGGACGAACTCCACGCGGTTCATTCGCTGCTCTCCGAACCTGTCTGGCAAATTGCACCGACCGACGAAGCTGCGATTTACAATTACACCGAGGATGTTATAGCTCTCGGCTTCTTACGGCAGGGCCACGTTTTGTTGAGCGAAGAGTGGCAACCCAGTACAGGTGACTTCGTACTGGACGAAGAACGATTCCCCACTATGGAAGAAACGATCAACATTATTCATCGTCGAGGGTTCAGAATTGCATTCACCATCCAACCGTTCATATCTACGGAATCCGTAAACTTTAAGGACGCTGTCACGAGTAGACTGTTGATTTCCGAAAGAGGCAGCGACCCAAGAATTCCGGCACTGACCAGGTACTGACACGCTCTTTTTAGACAAAATGTAACATTCCTTTTAAATGTTTTGGAATACTTGTATACCCCTAATCTTGTTCCGTAGATACAAACACAGCAACAGCGTCGGAGTTTTGGACATCACGAACAACAAAACTTTGCCTTGGCTGCAGACCAAGCTCGATAACTTGATCATGAAGTACCACGTGGACTCGTTTTATCTGGACTTAGGTACCGCGCAAGACATGCCTCACTATTACAAATGCGAGCAACCGTTGACTAACCCAGATCATTACAAGACGCTATTGACGAGAGCGATTCTGGGTTCTATGCCAGTGATTGGTGTCTCTGGTGCAATTTCTAGACCCCGCGCGCCAGTCTTCGTATCTCTTCCACCGTTCTCTTCTTCCTGGAAGGCCATAAAAACTGTAATTCCAACGGTATTGACCTACGGAATGATAGGTTATCCGTTTATTATGCCAGGCGCTGTTGGCGGAGACGTAGCTTTGCCCATGTCTGATAACAATCCTGACAACGACTTCGAAGTGAGCCTGCCGGATAAAGAGCTGTACATCAGGTGGCTGCAGCTGTCCACGTTTCTACCGGTGATACGTTTCACTCATCTGCCTAGCAAATATTCGGATGAATCGGTGCTAGAGATAGCCAAGAGGCTGACAACCTTGAGACAAAAAACTGTAACACCGTTGCTGAAGAAGTACGCAAAGGAGACTCTAGACACCGGTTTGCCTATAATCAGGCCTTTGTGGATGTTGGATCCAGCCGATCCAGCTTGTCACGTTGTCGTGGACGAGTTTTCCGTGGGCGAGGAATTAATAGTGGCTCCTGTTCTGTACTCGGGTAGCAGACAGAGGGAAGTTTACTTGCCCGCGGGAGTATGGAGAGACGGCATCGATGGCAGTCTCAGGAAAGGATCGAGATGGATTCACAATTACAGGGTGGCTGAAGACAAAGTTGCGTACTTTGTGAAAATGCCCGATAACACGAGATTTTAATCGGCTGATTGAATTGATTTCGTATGGTTTTACAAACAATTATCCAAGGAACAGATCCGAGTAAAAGATCGAAAATAAAAATCGGTAAGGCCAAAATGTCATTGAAAAATATCACTAGGTTTTTATAGGTTAGCGAGAGCTGATAAGAACATAAGTTAACGCTCCGGAAGTATTTATTTCTTTATATTAGGAAATATATTTATTTTATTCTATATCGTGTTTTTTTATTCCCACATACGTTGACTGTTGTATAGGTCAGTAGAAAATATAGTTTATACAAAACTAATAGACGAAAAACGTGTTTCAATGAAAAAATCCGTATCGCTATAGCCTCAAGTATATCATTACTCAACCGTACACGATACGTGATCTCGTCGTTATTCGATAGTCTCGAAACTCTCGAGTCCTCAAAGGGTAGTTCCCAGACTGTGTTTATCGTCGTGTTGCTGTTGCTGCCGTTCTTCGGGCCGCTCGACTATGCCAGAATGGGATTGCGACATGGACGACGATAATCTCGGAGAACAAGCGTCCAGGAACTTTTGGAGATTGCAGAGTTTCTTGACCTCGTCCTGGATGTGATTCAAATGATCCGATCGAATTAACTTCAACATGCCTATGTACTTATCCTTCGAATCACGATCTCCTAAGCGCCATAGACAGCAGTCACCTTGGAGTGCACGGGTTACCTCTATATATACCTCACGTGACGTTAACTCTCGATTCGAGTCAGCGTCCTGAAAATTAATCGGTAAAGTACGATCATCGTCTGAAATCTTTACAATATTGTTACAACGTAATTCTCTTTTAAACCTTTTGCTGATCCGAGGTGTTGCCAAATTCTTTACAGATGGCCCGGTCGATCACGCCAAGGATGTGATTCTTCGTAGCATGAAGATCAAGATCTCCACCAGCGAACACGTTCTTGCCGGTTTCCTGATCGTCGTCCTTAACTATCATCTCGTAAGCAGTATCTTCTCTGATGCATTCTCTGCCCGTTACCGACTCATCGTCTGGCCTGCAAACGGAACTCCGCCGAGCTATGGATCGTTTGCTCGGTTTACAGAACGATATATTTTCGGTTTCTTCTTTCCGACAGTCTTCGTCGGAATGGACTGGTAATGCCTTGTGCTTTGTCTACGTTTCACGATAAGATTATGACACACGCGAATAAAGATAAAAGTAGTAGGTAGTACTTCAATTAGTAGGTAGACAATTTAGAAGGCACAACGATTTACCGGGTCTTCGGTATTCTTGCTTTTTGACAACGTTTGCGAATCGGTAACTTTCGTCATGCACGATCGCACCGTAGAAAGTTTACTCGATAAAGCATTAGGTTTTCCTTTCGCCTGCGCCTCTCGTTCCTGATCAATGTTTCCCAGATCTACGTTTTTCGATAGGTTCAATTGAAAAAACTCTTGTTCCAAATCGATGTTATCGTTGTCCGAATCATTTTTCCCATTTGTGGTTAGTCTGTTCGAATTTTCAACGGGCTGCCTTGAAATTCGCGATTGCGGATTTCGCGTGCGTCCCTTTCTGTTGTAATAGTCGCTTCTCAGCGGGACGTTGCTGTCCACGTCAGAGTTTCCTGACGCGCCTGCTAGCATCTGTCAGGTACAAGAGTACATTTTCAAATTAAATATTTCATTGATTTATTCCCAACCCAGACAACAAATGGTAATGTAGGAGCCTAAACGAAAAATAAGGCACAGTCGACCGCTTTACCCACGCGACCAATCCCGTACCCTACGTTTCGTGTTCTCGTTTGGCTCGTTATTGGACACAGGAGGCGCGGATACTATAATAATTACCTGATAATTTGTCCATAGACCGTCTTTCCTGTATTCATTCTTTGCGATGTGATCGTATCCGCGGCAACCGTCGACGTTATCGTTTATCGTAGAATTTGTAAAGCCCTCGCGTATGGCTGAGAATCCCTGATCCTTGTTTCCTTGCTGATACCGGTGACTACTCGATTGCCTTTTCTTCGCGTGGCGATACGCGTTCGTCCTCGCGTGACTGCACGGAAACGACTTCGACGCGAAGCTGTTCACCGACTTCTTCGTCGTTTGAAGCGGACTTACCAGAAAGTCTTCGTATCTTTGCATAAGGTCGTCTACGTTGCCAGGGTATCTAAAAATATGTATCATGATTTTGATTTGGTGCTTATATCGTGGACGTGAATGTATTAGTCTTGTACGACAAATGAGAGTTACTTTACTCTTCTGATCGAATGATTCACTGCTTCGAGGGAGCAATGACAAGAGGGACAATGCTGCTGCTGCCCCCTCGTTTTTCTTCTTCGTCTTTTTTCTGGCGATCCGATCTCGTATCTTGATTTGTCGTGGGCGAAGCAGCACTCGGCACGGGTTAAATTACGACACGCGTACCATTCCCTAGAGTGCTTTTCTGGACAACACAGCTGTGTCGTCGAATAGTCTGATTCCTGCAAAAAAAAAAAAAAAGAAACGTTTCTAGAAACAGATTTTCTAAAAACGAGAAATGAACGCGACCTAAGTTTCAAGATCTAACCGTTTCTATCTGATGTTGCGCCATTGCCTCTCGACTTCAGCGTTAGAATCTTTGGTAGAATTTACACTGCACAGAATCCCGAGGAACCCAAAACCCCGTGAAACCGAATCGACCGTCGCTCATAATAAGTTTCCTCGATAGATCTTTTCTCTCCTACCGAGCGAGACTACCGAAAGTACAGAAAAACGTAGAAAAATGTATACTTACGTGTCGTACGAAAATGACGTGTACTGGGGAAAGAAATCGATTCGCATGCTTTTCTTCTTCGATTTTGAACGACAGAGTAGGCGACGAACTCCGCTATCTGTTCCATTAATCTATTCCATTTCGTTCATAATTAATAGTCGCGTGCCGTGATTTCGCGTGCGCTCGACTCGTCGAAAGAACCAACGATTCAGTTGTAAAACAACGTTAACCAGCGAGAGTAAGCTATGTCAAAGATACCGAAGGAACACGATTATTTCTACAATGAGATATTGCCGGATTTTCGAATCCGTGAGACAGTCATCCTGAACGAAAAGAAATCCGTGCTAACGGACGATCGGACTCGCGTTGGCATGCAAACCATCAATCCAAAATCGAAGAGTGGAAAGTACTTTGTGGAATTCGCAAGCGGTTCGACTATACATGGCCTTAAACATTTGGTGGCGCCTCATAGACATCCCATAGAAAAGTAAATACAGTAATGTCTCCGTAACTGCACGAATCTGTCTACGATAAATGCACGAATGTATACGATAACTGCGCAGAAACCATCCCTACGTCTGGAAGGCAGTGACGGGCAAAACCGTAGGCTTCGAATAAATCTGAAGTTTGCCGATACGTTTATCTCGTTTCCTGTTTTGAACATTTTTCCAAAGAAGGAAACGAGACAAACACATAAGCACGGCGAGACATACACAAGTGCTTCGCTACATCCATAATCGCACAACCTGTATATCGATAAACATAAGGCACACAACCTGTATAACGATAAACTTTAACAATTGTCTCTACGATAACTGCACAAGGTCAGTCCCCGAGCTTGTGCAGTTATGGAGACATTACTGTATCTTTTCGTCAACCGACACCGTGAATGCAATCACATTCCTATGTCCTGTTCGCGCAAGGATCCTGGCGGTTCTGTTCATCTTTGGAGCCCTGCTCTGCTTGATCTACTTGTCGTTCCTGTTCTGGGATCGATATCAAAACTACGCTACGGTCATCGTAGTGGACAACGAACGCGACCAGTTCGAAGTATCAAAGCCGGCTCTATTTGTTTGCCCGGTGCCGAATGTAAACGACAGCAAGCTCCCAGATGTTTTCAAAAAGTAATACGAAAATTAAATGAAATTAAATCGTTTCGTTTCGAGGCGTGTTTCTAACTTTTACGGAGCCTTTGCGCAGGCACGGTGTCGAGCACACTTCGGAAGCGGAAGAGTTCTTCACCTTCCTCGCCAATGTCAATTACCAAACCATGTCCCAAACACCTAACTTCGACAAGGTACCGCCAAACAAGTGGTTGGGCATTCTTTACGATTTGCGAAGATACCTTCCGCGTAACGTCGGTAACGAAGAGGATCCTTTAGAGGCATGGGTAGTGACGGAAAGAGGCTTCTGTTTAGCGAAGAGGAACGTCTTCGCGGTCTACGCTACGTACGAGTAAGTATTAGATTGGTCCAAAAAGTTTCTTTCGTGACTTGCGCTCAATTATTCTGCGTGGCAGTGTTTATGCAGGAAATTTTTGTTTGTGTTTGGATCCTAAATTCACCTTTTAAGCTTGGCCATTTAATCCGGCAACACTCTGTATAAATAGACAACCTGATCTCTTGAATGTTAATATTGTAACAGTAATGGAGCAAAATGTACTAACTTATTGTATCGCTTATTAATGAAATTTAAGAAACTTCTTGGGACAATCTAATATTTTTCATCGACGTATGCAATCGGTACGAATGTAACTCTCGTGTCCAAGGTATTGGATGAGCAACAATTGGACCGTCGTTCCTATACCTACCAACGTATCCTACTATGATCACAACGACGACCGTTTGCAAACCTCCGTTTTCGCAATGTACATAGCGTTGGTAAAGATTAAAATTTCCCTCGGTAGAAAATCGTACCGTACAGGATGGGATTAGTAATGGAAATTTACTTTGCTTCGAACAGCTGGCCGTATCCGATCCTTTCGAAGTGTTACTGTACGACGTTCCCACGACGAAGATCGTGCCGCAATTGTTGCAGCGATTGATCATGTCAATATCCGCGATCAAGACGGACCCGACCGTCAAAGAGCTACAGATCAGTCAAAGAAAATGCAAATTCCACAACGACGGTGGTTTAAAAACGTGGCCGGTCTACACGAGGAACATGTGTAAGATGGAGTGCAGGATGCGAGTGATAGAAGACCGTTGCAAATGTCGGCCGCATTTTGCCAGGCCTATAGGTCAAGAAATGATTTCAACGCACTGATTAATGTACTTTTAAAACGTAAATTGAGAAACGATATTTTTGTAGAAGGCGTGAACGTATGCAACGCGGAGCAGCTACGTTGTATCGGTAAGATAACAAAGGACCTCTTCTTATTCGAACATACACCGTATTTCTGTGACTGCGATCCAAATTGCGACCTTGTTACATACCAGATATCGGAGAAAGATGTCAACGAACTGTATGTATCGTTATCCACCCTTAATGAAATAGAGAATAGATGCACGCGTAAAAATAAAATCGTTTAATTGCTTCAGGAATCAAGTGCCGACCAACTCGTCGTTTGTTAATTTAATCGTCGAACTGCCTCAAATCGTCTATCATCGGTCGCTGATGTTTGGATTTACCGATTTCTTAAGTAGGTAATCGTGAACGTAAAACAAACTCAATCACGATCGAACGCATAAATATAATTTTGTGGTGTAGCTGGCGTTGGCGGTGCCGCTGGATTATTCCTGGGAGCAAGCGTATTATCCTTCGTGGAGATCATTTATTACGGCACGTTCCATATATGCTTCTACCTGAAACGAGTGAGCCGAAGTTACAACAAAGATAAGACAGTTAATTTATCTTAAGCAACAAGTAAACCATCTTTCTTTTCTTCTACTGGGAAAAAGTAATACAAATGAATGAAAGGTATTTAAAAAATATTGTGTTTATTTCAAAACAAGTTGCATCTTCCTGACAATACACGATGTAAAATAAATATCGTCACATACATTCACCTGTACACCGCGCAATGATTGTACATCAATTTACATTTACACGAATACCTCTCATTTCGATGTGGACCTCACTTACGGAAAAGGTCAACAAGACTAGCTAAAACGACGCTAAAATATCACCGAACGATGTTCCAGGTTCCTTTGCTGCTGCTTCGAACGTTTCTACGAAAGCCTTCTTCTGACTTTCCTTGGTTAACTAACAATCAAAAATGAATTATTCAACTTTGAACTTTCGTCAGCTGCTTCTCGCGAAATTCCATACCTTGTGATAGAAATCGGAAGCTGCGATACAAAGTATCTTTTTATCCTCGTATTCGTACTTGCCAATTCTCGATTGGACGTATGGAAATCTGAATATTTCGAGTGAAGGAGACTTTCAGCGAACGAAAGCATTGTTTAAATCGTGAAAGGATACAAGGCTCTCAACCATTGATTCGTAGATGCGCTAATGAAAAAGCACGACAAACACCACGTTGACATCGTCACGGGCAAACTTTGAATAAAATTTGGCAAACTGAACACGACCCAGTCTTGAAGAAGTTCCATTTGCGCACAAGTGCACGCTCTCTCGCAGACCTGTGACAAGTTGTCATTTCAAATCGTTACCAATTAACAGTACTACCTTTGTAATATTAACGATACAAACTTTGAAAACAACAGCGGAAAGTAATCTCGGGTGTGGTTGCTGGGGCGACAAAAATTCTCCTATAACTTTCGTCAATATCTCAGACGGCGGAAAGAAATCCCCTAATACTCCCGAGAGAACCGTGCAGAGAAGCTCCACTTCCATCGTATGTCCTTTCCTGATCTTGTCGAAAATTGCGGAGGTACGCTCTATGGATCGAACCAGTGCTTCCGGTTCTACATCTGGTAGCGGCTCTTCAATTTCCGGCTGATTCAGTCTATCTGCTGCGTCCGTGTACATACAAGTCAGCAGCAATTGTAAAGCTGGCAATGACAGCATAGGACTTGGTTGCTTCAAACGGTCTATCGCGACTTTTACTATTTGCTCGGCTACGTTTCCGATCACGCTTTTGGTTACCACAAGTCGCTCGAGGCCCTGATATAATTAGTCCAAAATAATAAACGCTTGCAAGTATCCATAGAATAAACATACATGGATACACTTGAAAAGAGAACGATATACCTGCAGAAGAGTTTGATGCAGGCTGGAGGAAATGTTTTGGGACGATAGTAAGGTGAGAACCAATTCAAGCACTGCTGGAGCTTCCGCGTCTGGTGGAGTGTCTTCCGCGTGTTCGAGCAGGAAGAACACTAAAGCCCACATCACGCCTTGATGCTCCTCGCTCTGGCTTAATACGCTAAATTCAAGAAACAGAACAGAAGAATCAGACGGACGCTAAAGTGTTGCCGTTAAACTAGTCACGTACGATTTACCTATTGGAATCTTGCGCGTCGAGGTGCTTCTGTATATATTCGATCGCTAGAGGGTGTACAATGTTCATGGTTTCCTCGCAATTCGTTAATACGGCGCTTTGTAACAAATACAAGGACCCATGAAGAGCGGCCACTCGCACGGGCAAGAATCCTGATTTGAGACTGACGTCTACCAGTCGTTTAACCTTCTCCAACGTTTCAAGATCCTACAAACACGCAGACAAAGAACATATAAAATAACGACAGGTTTAGAAGTCTGTAATTGGTTTTGTTGTATAATAATATCGAAGAATGTACCAATGGCGTTAATACAGCGGCAGCTTTGCATACAGATACCACCAAGTATTGATGCAAAATAACATTTTCAATAGGATGAATCCTCGAGATCTCCAGACACGTATCTAGCATCCACTGATACTGAGTCCGCTCCACAAACAACTCTGAAATGGCTAGAATAGATTTGACGATCTCCGTAAGCAACTGCACAGGCGTATTGGTTTGCAGAGACGTCCAAGAAGTGTAGAGCTCCACCAAAAATCGAAGACAGGAGTCCAAGTCCAGCGACGAAGACATCAACGCGTCGTTTCTTCTGTTCTTCAAGTTGAGAACAGAGGTGTTAAGTTTGTCCTCGTACAAGTTGCACGACGACCATAGGTAGGATACCGATAACTGACTGTACGTGTACTTGTTCGAGCTTGCAACTTTCTCCACGTTCCCGCGATGAAAAACGTGATCCATGTTCAAGCCACCGGCGCTCTCCAAGTCGTTCATGCATTCGTACTTCCACGCGAGCAAGTCCTGAATCGCGTGCAACTTTTGCGAGCTGATTTTGTGAACCGAGAGCTCGGGATCCCTCGAGCAATGGATCAGAGTGCTAGCTATCGGATTGCCGGGGTAAGGAAGAAGCAAAGTCTGCAACAATAGTCTCGTTATCGCTTGAACGGCTAAGCTACTCGCTTGTACCAGAGTGGGTATCTCCTCGGAAATTACAGTCTGGTTCTGCGAGAGGTTGACAACTCCTAAAAGGGCCATCCATATTTCTTCGAACTGCAGCCGCGAAATCCAGCCCAACAAGTTTATCCTGTAAATGAATTGCTCCAGGATTTCTACTTCCAGCAGAAGATTCGACTCGGAAGGTAACAACGGAAAGTAGCATTTGGTCGGGCCAGAACCAACGACGTCCCAGTTTTGCTTCCAAACCAACGGAGGCGTCAAGATGTAAGAATTCACCAATGGCTGGCGACTAATGCTCACGATTAAACCTTGTATCGTATCGAACAGATAACGCGAGATGTTTCTCAACGATCCTTCCTTCTGACAGTGTTCTAACCAAGCGACCAGGGCAGCCATTCGAGCGCAAGCTTTACCGAACTCTTTAGTGTCCTCGTCCTCGAACGCTGGTTCTAAAGCGCGCGCATCTATAACTGGCAAAGAGTCAATCGTCGTTAGTAGAAACTCGACTATTCTCGTTAACGAAGCGGCAGCGGTACAGACCCACGAGTACTTTGCGCTGTCTCCGATAATTTTATTCGGCCCAGGGTGTTTCAAGATCTCGGCCGCGCAACTCAACGCAAGCTTCGCGTCCCTTGGTCTCAGCTTTTTCACCTTGTTCGCATCGGAGTGTATCATCCAATGCGTCAACTCCAGACACAGAACCGCGAACTTGGCAAGGTCTTCTTCGGATCTCATGTCTAATTTCGCCAAGTCGTACTTCGCAAGCTTCGACAACGTTTTCATGTACATTTTCACAGCTGGTATTAACATGAAAAGCACGTCCCAGTACACCGACTCGTTCAGGAGTTCATCGAACCGAATTACATACTTCAGCTCCTTCGAATTGGCGTTGGATCGCGATGGATTATAGATCTGGTGAGGTTTCGGCATTAATTCGTTGACGTAATGAACTCGTTCCAATAAACATTGCTTAGCTGCTCTGTACAGAGCGCTAGCTTCGAAATTGTAGTCTTTTTCGTTCTGAGCTACGTCCAATTCGAACTTTTGGCACTTTTCGAGACTCGTGCGTGTACCCAATGTTATACAAGGCTTTAAAATCGTAACGTTGAACTCTTTGCAAGAAAGAATGCCGAGACAGTCTTCGTAATTTAACTCTTTTAATAACTGAGCGGCCTCCGAGGGATTGTTGCTGGCGTTCGGATTGCAACACCTTAACTTTACCTGAGAGAGAAACCAATTGCGATCCAACTGAATACTCTTTACGGTAGAAGGATTGAACGGTCTACACTGATCCAGTTCAAGAGGGGACAGATCGTAATATTGTACACCCAGCTTGTTCAATAGACTGACTAAACCACCGTGTTTCTTTGCCAGTTTAGTCGACTGCAAAGTATCCATTATCTTGACGAAATCATCTTTTGGCAAATATTTTGTCGCGTCTGCAGTGGACGTGGTCAGCAAAATCTCCACTCTTCGACTAGCTATTTTCGCTGCCATTCGAGACAAAGCGAGATACTTGGTGGACAGTAATCTTGGTATCAACGTCGTTAAAACTGCTCCACTTTGCGAGTAATGAGCGCCTTCTATACATTGCAACAGACGCTTAACAAAACTAGGTTGAGACAAGTCCGTGCACTTGGTCGCGATTGCTTGCACCAACAACCCGCTGGCCGCTGGATTCCTGTGCACAGCCGCTGTCAATAAATCTCTGACGGGAGACTCGATGGCATTGCTTACCGCTTCTTCCGTGTGGTTGACCAGCAACCACGTTAGAGGCTCCGCGTCGCTCAGATTCTCGCAAACGTAATCACAGAACAGTATTATACCACCTTTTCTGACAATCTGAATATTAATACTACCCGGATAATCGGTATTCTTTTCTTCGGTATGCGTAGAATGCACTACGTACTCCGAACGATGAGTGCCGAGCACTTTTGACCAGAAAGTCATTTCATTGTACCCCAATAGAGTCATCAGATAGGCCCACTGACACGTCAATGTCGGACATTTGTTTCCAATGTTCAGCATAGTGCAATTTAGATCGGCGATCGGTAACTTCTCGTCGTCTGGAACGTTACGACCTTGAATCATCTGCATTGTTGCGTTCGCGACTTTGCAGTGACTTCCAGACTCGAACATATGAATGCACAACTGCAGAAAGAACGCGAACTGATGAACTAAATAATGGTCGTTTTCCATGGAGTCGACGAATCCAACAAACATGTCGTTCGCTTTGTGGTCGATCAGTCCAAGAAGACTGTGCACTTTGGAGCCCACTTTACCGATAACTTTGAATATAAACTTAGCCAATATTCTCTCTGGCGGAACATCGATAGACTGGATTCCTAAAACGTTCAGAGGATCCATAGTTCGACTAGAGGCCTCTGAAAGCAGAAACGATTGCGAGAGATCTGTCATATTTGCGCTTAAATCGGAAAGACGCGCCAGCATTGCTTCCTCTTTCGCACACGAAATTAACGATAACAAGACGACGTTGATCATTCCCAACCATCGTTTCAATCGCAAACTTGACGTCTCCACAGAAACTGGCATAACAAAAAGTACTTTTAAAAGAGGATCGACCGGTCTGAATACCGTAGGGGAAATTGCAGCAAACAATTTAACCAGAGCAACGTGAGCTTT